ACACCAGACCAGTGGAGCCAAACTGCAGCCCGTCATCATCCTCATCTGCTTGTAAGTAGGCAATCTAGTATATTATTAGTGACACTAATCTATAATGTACCTCACATTAAAGGGACACTATAGCTTAATGAAGTGGTTCTGGTGTCTATAGCTGGTCCCTGCAGGCTTTTTAATGTAAACACACACTGTGTGCAGCACTGGCGTTAGTTCATATGGCAGATCATATGGGTGGGGCATTGTGATGTGACATGTGGGGGCAGCAAATTTTTATTTTGTCTAGGGCGGCAAAAATCCTTGCACCGGCTCTGATCCTGGGCAGGTGCACCAGTCTACTTGACTGGTTTTGCCCCCCAGGCCTAAGGCTGCCAGCCCTCCCCTGGCCGCTGGGGAGGTCTTTTGGCGGCCGCTGGCGGACTTGTCCTGGCGGCCGCTGAGGGAGCTGCGCGAGCTGCGCTGGCTCTGCTCCCCAGCACGCAGCTGAATGAGACCGGCGCCGGAATATGACGTCATATTCCGGCGCCAGTCTCATTCAGCAGCGCGCGAGGGCGGGAGGGCACTAACACAGGAAGCACCTCTAGTGACCGTCTGAGTGACTGTCACTAGCAGTGTCACTTTGAAGCAATGTAAACACTGCCTTTTGTCTGAAAAGTCAGTGTTTACGTTGAAAAAGCCTGTAGGGACATGCTATAGACACCAGTACCACCACATTAAGCTGTGTGTGTGCGTCTGCTAGTGAGTGAGCTTGCTTGCATGCGTGTGCCTGCTAGTGAGTGAGCTTGTGTTTTTATGTCAATGAGCTGATGTATATCAGTAAGATTGTTTGTCTATGAGGCTGTGTATCAATGAGCTTGTGTGTGTCACTGAAATGTCAGTGAAATTGCCTGTGTCTGCATGTGCGTATGCTTACTGTATAATTAAACGTTTTACCCTGAAAGGACCAATATTTTATATTAGAAAAAGCAATATATATATATATATATATATATATATACTCAATCATCTGTCCTGGCAAGACATAGCCTTACATATTACACGCGACAATATATGGCGCAGTGACTTATGGGGCTGGCACAAATTTTTTTTCCAGGGCTGCTTTGTATCCCCAGTCCGGCCCTGGTGTCAGTGAGTGTTTCTGTTAGCTAGTGTATGCGTATCTGTCAGTGAAAGTGTGTGTGTATTTAGAAGGCGGGGCGGGGGGGAAGGGATGAGTGGGGGTCGCGCGCGGGAGGGTCGGGGGGGGGGGGTTGGCGGGCGGCTGAGTTTTGTCCTGCCTAGGGCAGCACAAAACCAGGATACACCACTGCTCTTACACACCCCAGCACCTTTGACAGTATACTTCACTTGCTTTCAGATGGATTTTCTGCATTTTTAAGCATTATGTTAACAGCTGCAATCATTTCAGAAAACTTAACCACCTAATTCTATCTAGCTGACCAATTTGACCATTAAGCAACACTTATTGCATTGTGTTTTCATTTGCTCAGCACAAGAGAAGTTGCTACCTTATTGTTTGTATTATTTTGATTTTTCCTTTTGTCTGTTCGGCATGTGCTTACCTTAACAAGCAATTCAAAATAATTACTGCATGACACATTTTAGATGAGCTTGTGGTAACAGCAACTATCAATGTATCTGACTAGAGTTGAACGAACCAGAACTGTAAAGTTCGGGTTCGTACCGAACATTAAGTTTTTTGGACCCCGGACCCGAACACGGACATATCACTGTATGTTCGGGTTGGAGTTCGGTGTTCGGTGATTTAATGGCGCGTTTTCAAAGGCTGCAGGGCAGCCAATCAACAAGGGTTTGACTCGTGTGCCCTTAGAAGCCATCACAGCCATGCCTACTAATGGCATAGCTGTGATTGGCCAGTGCAGCATGTAACCCAGCCTCCATATATAAGCTGGAGTCACATGAGCTCTTATTAGTGTAGGGAGAGGATGCTGCAGCTGTGAGGGACAGCTTAGGAAAGAATTCTGCAAACTAGTACATTAGTGGGGTGCACTTCATATCTGAGAGTCAAATAGAAGCGTCAAATACTGCTGTCACATTGCAGTTTTAAAACTAAAATATTTTTGGGTGCTAAACTGCTAAATAGTATTTTAGTGGGGTGCACTTCATATCTGAGAGTCAAATAGAAGTGTCTAATAGTGTGCTTACAGCGCAGTTGTAAAAAATTCAAATTTTCTGGGTGCTAATCAGCTAAATAGTACATTTTGGGGCATGTACTTCATATCTGAGAGTCAAATAGAAGCGTCTAATAGTGTGCTTACAGCGCAGTGGTTAACATTCTTATTTTCTGGGTGCTAATCTGCTAAATAGTACATTTTGGGGCCTGCTCCCTCCAACACACAATCCTTACAAACACACACATCACCCTCACATAGCACCCTAACACAGCACCCTAACACACATCACCCTTACACAGCATCCTAACACACACATCACCCTCACACAGCACCCTAACACATATCACCCTCATATCTAAGAGTGAAAAAGAAGCGTCTAATAGTGCACTTACTGCGCAGTTGTAAAAATCCTAATTGTTTTGCTGCTAATCTGCTAAATAGTACATTTGTGGCCTGCGGTGCACTTCATATCTGCGTCAAATCGAAGCGTCTAATAGTGTGCTTACAGCGCAGTTGTAAAAATTCTAATTTTCTGCGTGCTAATCTGCTAAATAGTAAATTTTGGGGCGTGCACTTCATATCTGAGAGTCAAATAGAAGCGTCAAATACTGCGGTTACAGCGCCATTGTAAACATTATAATTGATTTTCTGCTAAACTGGTAAATAGTACATTTTGGGCATGCTCTTCATATCTGAGAGTCAAATTGAAGCGTCTAATAGTGTGCTTACAGCGCAGTGGTAAACATTCTTATTTTCTGGGTGCTAATCTGCTAAATAGTATATTTGCGGCCTGTGGTGCACTTCATATGTGAGAGTCAAATAGAAGCGTCAAATACTGTTGTCACATTGCAGTTTTAAAACTTAAATTTTTGGGTTGCTAAACTGCTGAATAGTATTTTAGTGGGGTGCACTTCATATCTGAGAGTCAAATAGAAGCGTCTAATAGTGTGCTTACAGCGCAGTTGTAAAAAATTTAATTTTTATGGGCGGTAATCTGCTAAATAGTACATTTTGGGGCGTGCACTTCATATCAGAGTCAAATAGAAGCGTCTAATAGTGTGCTTAGAGCGCAGTGGTTAACATTTTTATTTTCTGGGTGCTAATTTGCTAAATAGTACATTTTGGGGCCTGCTCCCTCCAACACACAATTGTTACAAACACACACACACACATCACCCTCACAGAGCACCCTAACACACATCACCCTCACACAGCACCCTAACACACATCACCCTAACACATATCACCCTTATATCTACGAGTCAAATAGAAGCGTCTAATAGTGCACTTACTGCACAGTTGTAAAAATCCTAATTTATTTGCTGGTAATCTGCTAAGTAGTACATTTGAGGCATGTAGTGCACTTCATATCTGAGAGTCAAATCGAAGTGTCTAATAGTGTGCTTACAGTGCAGTTGTAAAAATTCTAATTTTCTGGGTGCTAATCTGCTAAATAGTACATGTTGGGGACTGCTCTACATATCTGAGAGTCAAATAGAAGCGTCAAATAGTGCGCTTACTGCGCAGTTGTAAGCATTCTAATTGTTTTGCCGCTAATCTGCAACTTATATTGGAGTTTTAAAAAGGCATTTTTTTGGGGGGTGCTAAATAGTATATTTGGGGTGTTCACTTCATATCTGAGAGTCAAATCGAAGCGTAACTTTGATTCAAATTTACTACATCGTCACTTGTAATATTGTTTCACACCTACAACACTTGTTACACAAATCTAAGTGATAGAAAACAGATTGATATTTTTTACACTAGAAACTACCAGATAACAAGCTGCTATATTTAAACCAGTTATCAATAGCTGAGGTACTTAAACAATATTGTAATTCTGGGGCAATACCCTTACAAGTCAAACTGAGAGGTCAGTTTATAGTGAAAACTGTTGTCTGTATACAATTCTAAAACAATTTCCATATGTCCTTTACAGACTTTACATGCTAGAAAAACACAGATGCCAACTGCTGTTGCTTTCTGCAGTGTGCATACTGGCAAGGAGGGCAGGGTTGAGGAGTAGGTGGAAGATGATGTGGAGGATGATGAGGTCGTAGACCTCACATGGAATCAAGGTCATGCGAGTGACGTGTGCAGTTTGGAGGAAGAGGTGCTGGTCACATTGAGGCACCAGCACAGCATAAGAGTAAGCAGGGTGCAAAAGCGGAGGGGCCATCCCCTAGCGCTCGTCGGCATGTATTAGCTCGAGAATTACCAGTTATCCAAGTAATACATGTAGCGATCAAAGGCTCCATAATAGAGTTGAGTGAACCTGAACTGCAAAGTTCGGGTTCGTACCAGATTTAACGATCCATTCGTAGTTTCACAGTGAGGTGGGCAGTCCGGTGACCAGGACTCAGACACTGTCTGGGCGGCGGTCGGACGACCGGTACCCAGTATGCCTGATGTTGAAGTTAGGAGTCACAGTGTGGAATGGATTAGCAGGGTCTGGTGCAGGGTAACCGCACGCCCCCTGGTGTTGAGCACCAGCGTTTGTGTGGCCACATACCAGGACCCTGATGCAGCTTCAGTAAAAAGAGTACTTGATACCAGAAGCCATCACCAGACTGATCCGCAACTTGGAACAGGATGTGACATTTACTGTAGCGGCTGTGCGCGCTTTTGGTGTTCTAACCCTGCTGCTGCTCGCCTGTCTGCACTGCAGCATAACGTAGGCCTTCCCGCTCACTCCCGCTCACCGCCTCATGAGACTGTGCGAGCAGCAGCAGGCGATAGTGGAGTTTCAGCTGCAGCACGCACGGGTCAGTGGCTCTGCACCAGACTTCCCTCCAATTGATCAGAGTGAAAGGATTTCAAGTGGACTCATTACAATTACAGGGCCTCTAAAGAGTCCTGTATTGTTATTTGTCGTCACTACCTTCCCGCGTCGGGAGTGGGTCATTTGCGCGCCTGCTGCCTTCTTTGCATGTGGTAGCCATTTCTCAGGGTCCCTGTATGGAATGGAACCCTGATTCCCTGTTACCAGTGGTCACCATGGTAGGCGCAGAAACTGCCATAGAAAGTTGATATGGATGACATCCGAATGCAAAGTTGCCGTCACAGGGATGTGCGATTGGCCTGAGGTTCTCTAGAGTCAACAAAGTGCCTGCGCAACTATAATGTCAACAGCAACTCTGCGGAACAGAATTGTCTTTTTTCATATGTCCCAATATTTTGGGGGCTACCCCAATTAAAAATATATATATATAAAAAAACAGTGTTGGCTACCTCATCCTCTGCCACCACCGTTGCTTCCGCCTACACCGCCACGGTCACCACCTCCTCAACCTATGGGTCACTTAGTATAAACTATGTACACAATAGCAGAGGCCTGTGAATGCCTTTTCTCCATGCATCAGGAGTTGAGCATTTCTCCATGCATCAGGACTGCAAGAAATGCACCACAAGCCACAAATGTTTCTTTTTTTTTATGTCCCAATATTTTGTGGGCTAACACAATTAAATAAAAAACAGTGTTGGCTACCTCATCCTCCTCCTCCACCGGTGCTTCCACCTACACCACCACGGTCACCGCCTCCTCAACTTATGGGTCACTTAGTATAAACTATTTACACAATAGCAGAGGCTTGTGAAGTCCTTTCTCCATGCATCAGGAGTTGAGCTCAGTTTGAACAATGAAAGAGAATACGCTGCACTCCAACCCTCTCTCAAATGGTTAATTCTGGTGATCCTCCTGACAGCCATGCTTTAGATTTTGATTTATGTTCTTCCAAAGCTAAAATAAAAGATTTCATCTAGTGCTACTTTATGGTTCAGCTGTATTTTTAATTTTTATGTTATTTTAAGTGATTTCCCTATCCACATTTGTTTGCAGGACACTTGTCCTACTCTTACCCCCATTTTACTTGCTTTTGCAGATCTCTAGCCCTTTCCAGGAGTTTTTTAGAGGCATTTTTGTGGCCAAAATTTTGGGTCCCAATTGACTTCAAATGGGGTTTGGGTTCCGAGCCCGAACCCGAACTTTTTTTCAAAGTTCGGCCGAACCCGCCGGACCCGAACATCCAGGTATCCGCTCAACTCTATATCTGACTATAAAGGCTTTAAGCAGGGAAATAAGATAATTATTATTGGTCAGAGGTTCTAGCAGAATTTAAGGATCATGATAATTCTGCCATATATATATTTATTTTTATTACTATCTTTTTTTTTTACTGCTCCTTGTTTTCCTCTTCTTTGGGTCATTTCTCGTGATCTGTAAATAAAATCAACGTTTACAGGCTGTCCTCTAGCCAGCAAGCCTCTTTTTTTTACTCCATGGTTAGAACTCCAAATAGCAAATCATATAAAACTGTCTGCCTGCCCGCCCATTGTACATTTTATTTGTTTCGTGATTTGTCCAAATGACTATTCAGAGTTCCAGGATCCAGTTCCTATGCCAATTGACCAAAACTCAAAGTGCAATTCGTTTGAAACCAAATACACAAGATCTACTAATCTGGCTTAATAACACCACTGATACTTAAAGGAACACTTACAAATAAGGCTGTAAATAAGCTTTTTACATTGCAGGGTTAAGGGGAAATGGGGACTGCATCCAGACCACTTTATTGAGAAGAAGTGGTCTGGGTGCCTATAGTGTCCTTTTAATTCAATTCAATTCAATGATTATACTCAAGTGTAAATTACACTCTCAGATGAACTCAAATAAGAAAAATCATCTGAATGAAAAGGATGCCCCCATATGAAGTAAGTAAATGTTATATCATATACATAAACAAGCTACAAGAATGTTACCTTTACATAGTGATCATGCCTTTCCCTCAGGCTATCTTGATTTAAGTTAAGAAATAGCAAATACCAACTGCATGCCTTGATGTAGAAATTAACAGTAAACAACGCTTGAAGCTTACTATGAAACTATCAGAGGTTCTCTGTTCCAAAAAATATAATCTTGTAAAATTCATTAACTTGGGAATGATTTGGAGATAAAGAATAATTTATCAAAAAAAGCAATTAACTATTTGGGAACAATTTAAATTGGTACCTTTAATTTTATATAAACCAAGACTGGGCTCATCAATGGCCAAAATCTTATAAAGACATGGGGTAGGTGTAGGAAAGAAATCAAATATATTGATAAGAAGGACATTCCATTTGTGAACCCTGTTCTCCTAATGTCATCTTGCAAGGAGGAATTACTTACTTTGTAGAGAGCTTATGATGAAACCAATATAGTCATAAAATAAATACTCAACAAATAAACAAAGCAAATCAAATAGGTTTCTAATAATATTAGGCTCTTGCTAAGAAAAGGACATTTTGGACATGTAGAGTTACAATGACTAACCACAATATTAAAAACCCCTGGCAAGTGAAGTGAAAAACATGAATTATATTGTTAGAATGGCACATGTCAAGGTTTGGGATATATTAAGCAAAAAGTTTACAGTCAATTCTTGAATTCCATGTGTTGGAAGCAGAAAAAAATGGCAAGTGAAAAGATGGGAGTCCCTTTGACAAGGGCCAAATAGGGATGGTGAGCAGGTCAGAGCATCTTCAAAACAGCAAGCCTTGCCTGGAATGCAGTGGTTAGTACCTTTTGAAAGTGGTGCAAGGAAGGACAACTGGTGAACTGACCTCATGGTCATGGGTGTCCAAGGCTCATAAAGACATGTGGGGAGCAAAGTCTAGCCAGTTGAGTCTGATCACACAAAAGACCTATTTTAGTTTAAATTGCTTAAAAACATTTTGCTGGCCATGATAGAAAGGTGTCAGTACACTCAGTGCAATGCAGTGAGTTGCATAATCACAGACCAGTCAGAGTGCCCATGATGACCCTTTTCCACCGATGAAAACACCTTCAATGGGGACGTGAGCATCAGATTTGGAGCATGGAGCAATGATAGAAGGTTGCCTGGTCTGATGAATCAAGTTTTCTTTTAGATCAGGTGGCTGCCCGGGTGCATGTTCGTTGTATACCTGGGGAAGAGATGGCAGCAAGATGCACTGGGAAGAAGACGGGCCAGATACTGTAGAACAAATTCAGAGGTTTTGTGGAGTCCATGCATCGATGCATCAGAGCTGTTTTGGCAGCACAAAGAGGAACTACATGATATTAGGCAGGTGGTTAAATGTTGTGGCTGATCAATAAACATAGGCTTAACCTGATGAGTTTGGAAAATTTAGACAAGAGGAATAAAAAAAATCAAATAAATGACGGAAGCATTGTCAGAGCAGTCTTTATATGAACAAGTAACACAGGTGAATAAACAAATAACTATCACCTTTCTTAAGGCATGTAGAGAAAAATTCCAAATCAAAAAATGTCAGTAGAGTCAAAACAAGAAGATCAAAAGGCAACAGAAATGTCAAGTGTGAAAAGCAACAATTAAATATAGCTGCAAGCATCAGTCGCCAAGCATTAGACCCTAGATATAGCATCTGAGCAGATATTGCAAGTCAAGCGGTAAATACCAGATATATGTTTTTGTAAATGTATTATAATAAATATATTTCAAAATTAGTCATGTAATCCAGTATGCCACCCAGACTACATGAATATGTATTCCATATTGAAGATTGCAGAGCACAATATAGAAATGTATCACGGCATTAACTTTAAAGAGTTTTCTGACAAGACGTTTTGATTTTGTGGTTATTTGTAAAATACATTTAAATATTTGTGACAATTTCAAAATGGCTGCCAAACCCCATGACGGAGTAAAATAGCATAGATACAGCACATGACAAAACTCAAAAGAATGGGCAAAGCATATGTGCTGATTTTGCAGATATCACATGTTTAACAAACTGTTGTATTGTTAAATAGTAAAATGAATCCAAATTTGTCCAATTCTATGACACCTTAAAGGTAATTAGTACACGGCAGTTATCTTAAGTTTGATATGAACTTACTATTAACAATCATGGTAGAGGGCCCAGCTGTGTATATTTTTGAGTGCTTCGGCCTTTGTTGTCATCTGTTACATGGACGTGGTGTTCTAGATATTTGGCAACATGCAATGAGTCTTTGCTTTATATGCGTGCCAGTTTTGCTTTGCAATCTCTTGCCTAGGATAAGACCAAAAATGTGTCAAGGAAAAGTATTTAATTAAGATAAATTTAGCTCCAATGATGAATCGACTGTCTACAGTAATCACAGATCAATAGCATAAAAATCAATTTTATATTTATTACATAGTTACAAAGCTGAAAAAGACTTGCGTCCATCAAGTTCAGCCTTCCTCACATATGTTTTTGCTATTGATCCAAAAGAAGGCAAAAAAACCTAGTCTGAGGCGCTTCCAATTTTGCAACAAACTAGGAAAAAATTCCTTTTGGAAATTATATTTGGTTAGTCTGAATCTACTTAGGTTATGTCATAAAAGCTGAATAAGAATGAAGGCACTCCCAAAATATCTGGATAACCAGACACATATTTTAAACAAAATTATTAAGCAACATTGAATTACAACCAAAATATATAAAAAAAAAAAAAAAGGAAAATGTTACTTCGCAGGATTAAAATGCAATGAAGAAAATCATACTTCAGTATTTACCTCTGTCCTGGAACTGAGTGCCTCCATTTTGGCTCCATGTGAGTCATTGTTATAAGTTCTGTCCTTTGTACTTGCAGTCAGTAATATGGGAGGATTGTAACCAGAAACAATGTTTTGGTTTTCTCTTCATTTAATGTTATATGTGATCTAGCTGTGCCAGAGTCAAACTGGATTGTGATATTTCATCTGTAAAAATTGCAACATAAAAGTCAATATAAGATAGAACCCCAAAAAAAGGTTAACACAAACTATATGTGATTTTAAATGTTTAGTCATTGGTGCCATTTTCAGCAGTGCCGGTTTTTCTTTTAATAATGTATAATCACTACATTTAAAATTTCGCTGTAATCAGTATTAGAAAAAAAAATACAAGTACAATAATGAATAAAACCACTAATGTCAAAAGAAATAGAATAGGTAAAAGGCAGGAGGAATGTCAAGGAAGAAGATTATTACTGCTTGTGTCTGTTGTGGTTACAAATTGATGCTAAACTATTATTTTTGCCATTTTCTCCAAAATAACGCAAAAAAAAAAATGCAGGACAAGAAGAGAGAACATTGTGAACCCTACAATAAGGGTTTAGAATTTCACTATTTTTTTTTTAATAGAAACAATATAGGGTGTGTAATTAAAGGGTAACCATGCATTTTTTATCATTTCCCATTAGGA